CTTGGAGATCATGGGTGCTGATGAAATGGACTGGTGCAGGAGCGCAAGGCTTGGTCTCCACCCCAGTGGACCCTTGGGAGGATCAAATGACTACAGGATGAAGGGCTCTCCAGGTGAAGCGCCAACTGGCTGGCTTTTCCCAGATAAGAAGGGGAGGCCGTTTCACTCATTTCACCCTACAGTCAGCTTGGGACTCTTCCTCTGGTGAAAGATGTCTGCAACTGCCTTTCTCCTGCTGGGGATGAGAAACTGCGGGGCACTGGGAGGACGACCATACTGCAGGGTGCTGGCAGTCAGTCATGCTGGACCCCCCTCTCTGTGATGATGCAATTGCCTACCCGGGACGTCAAGCGTGCCCAGCACTTAGCCCTTTCCTCCAGCTGTCAGCCACAGAAGAGACGCCACAGGCCCCTCTCTGGGGAGCTCCCTGTGGGCAACATGCCTCCTACCCTAAGGTTGTTTGCTGTATAGGCTCCACGGACACCAAATCCCAGCTCAGAACCAAGATTCTTGGAAAATATACAGCTGGTAACTTCTGAATACTGGGAGAAGAAATAACCAGACAACAGCCAGGCTAAGAGCCACTGCCTCCTTGGCTAGCTAGCACCGTCCTGCTTGTGAGCACGGCCATACCCTGGACCCCACCACTGCTGGCAGCCAGCGGTCAGGCGATACAGGGACCTACTACCACGGCACTCCACTGGGTCTGCCCAGCCCCTGCTCAGCTCCAGCCCACCCACATCTTCCACCAGCCCAGCCTGTAACTGGGATCTGCAGTCCAGGGACTTGAGCGCTCCAGCTGTTCGGAGACAGGTCCTTCTAGCTCTACAGGAGGCTACAGGAGAGCAAGGATCAGGCCCCGGACAGTTGCCGGGTCGACTGCTGCCCAGGGTGAAGCACTAATAGCCAGGAACAAAAGAGTGGCATTTTATTTCTGGGAGGCAGCGACTGCCCAGCTGCTTGAAGGAGAAGGATCTCAAATCGGGCCACACTGCTGGAGCAGCGACCAACAACAGCACTCCTGGGGCAGCCCAATGTATCAGAGCGGGCCCTAGTCTCCTTAAATCGCTCACATCCTTGGTCTGAGCCACCTGTGGCTACTGTCAGTGTGTTGCAGAGCCCAGGCCAGCTGCTTGGACCTGGCAAGTACTAGATGCACTTGAAGTGTTCCCTGCTGCTGAGCTGCTTCTGCTGCCACTGAGACAGCAGCAAGCAGGTCGGCACAGTCCTCAGGACATGGTGAGGATTCCTGCCATGGGCTCCCATGACTCCACCATCCTTGCTCCTTTCTCTTGCTCGCTCAGTAGCCCCCCGCCAAACACGCAGGCAGGAATCCCAGCCCAAGCCTTCCTGCACCAGTACGCTTCCCAGCAGAGACGAGGCTGCAAATGCCCGCCCTGCAGCACCTGCCTGCCCCAAGGCTCCGACG